AAAAATATACTAACTATATAATATTCATAGGTCAGCATTTTGTGAAAATATTAGTATGAGGGATCATTAGAAAGAGTTCATTGTCTAACAAAATATATTACTAAGAAAAAATATGTCTAGTCTTTTATTTAGTATTGTATTAAAATCTTCTAAAACTATATAATGCATATTCTTTTTATTCTTAATAATTTCTTCTATTAAAATTTTGTATACTTTTTTTATTACTTCTAGATTTTTAGATGAAAAGTAGACTATTCAGACTTGTAAAATTATTTTTCTAAAGAAGAATTCTGCCTTGAGCAAGTATAGACTATATTTTCTATACACTCCTAGATTCTTTATCCAATTTTGATCAACTAATAAACTGATTTCTAACCCTTTCTTTTTACCTTTTTCTGTTTCAGTTCAAAAGCTAAAGTACCTATATTCTCTTATATTTATCTATTTGCCTTCTAGTTCTCTTATATTAGTTTCAATAATTCTAATTATATTATACCCTTCTAACTTATTAAACTCTACTAGCTACTCTACTTTCATATTATCTTCTTTTATTCTATTGATATTGTGTGTTCCTATCTTTATACTTTCTCTCTTTATGTTTCTAATATATATATTGTAGTTTATACAGCTTCTTATATTTCTGTTCACTCTTTCTCTTTTTTTCTGTTTCTCTTTTCTTCTTTTTTTTGGTTTTAATTTGATTCTACTCTATTTTGTCATTCAAGTTTTCCTTCTTAGTAGACAAGAACTTCAATTAATTCAACTTTAGCTAATATTAGGAGTGATTTAGAGCTTCTAGTCACTAATTATTCTCAATGCTACTTAGTTTTTTTTCTATATTTTATATTCATTATACTATATATGAAAGTGATTCTGTATAGTTATCTTCTTTATAGAGCTACTTATTTTATTCTTCAGTAGAAAAAACCTTTTCTTTTTCTAATTTTGTGTATAACCTATTTCCTGTTTTACTCTTTTCTACTAGGTTAAATTTTTTTTTTTTATGCAAGGACTCTTGCCTATTTTGAATTGTTTTTTTTTTTCCTGAGCTTACTGTTTGTTAATTGTATCTGTAGTATTCTTGTTGACTTTCTTCTTCTAAATAATATATTTTACTTGTAACTACTTCTGATATTTTCTAGAATAGCTTTGTATTGTAATAGTTGTTACAAAATTTTTTCTTTCATATTATTTCTCTCTGGCTCTTGAAGAAAATAATACATAGCCTTTATTGTTTCTATTTAAGTTTTTTAAAACATTTACTGCTTTTGCTTCAGTATACTTAAGCTGTCTGAATAATAATATTCATTTACATTTTGTAAGATATTGAATAGCTTTAGCATAAATTGCTTGTAACTTTCTAATAGGTCTTTTTTATTTAATTCTGGTATTATGTGTACCAAGAAATCATTTGTAAGAGGAGGTCTGGCGATCTTAGTGTAGTGGTTAGGTTGTCAGACTGCCATGCAAGAGGTCTGGGGTTTAAATCCCACTGTCAACGAATTTGAATAATTACTCGGACCTTTGTACCCAACTTACGGTAAACTCTGCTCGTTTCTGGGGTTACAACCCTATAAATCATGTTGCACCAAAGTCAATCGGATATTGGAAGTGTGATGCAATACTCAAGTTACATTACGTGAATAAATCTTGATAGGATCTACAGGCAGGGGACCTGCATAGTAGAAATTCTGAGTTTGGTGAAGTAGTACGAATTTCAATGGTCAAGCCAGTTAACACCTGATCTAGTGAAAAACCTGAGTACGAAGGATATGAGATCGATAGGTGCGAGTAAGTCCGCTATGTAATGCAGCCTGGTGCCTTGCATTAGTGGCAACACCAATTTGGCTTGGCAGCAAACTAGATTTGGAGGATCTACCTCGTGAAACATCTGGCTGGAACTTGGAGGACTATATCTGGTGGACGGTCATGGCAGGAACTGGGTTTGTATGAATATCAACAAGGGTCTAATTCAGGTGAATCTGTGAAATAGGCACATGACCACTTTGGTAGGAATTACTTCTGAGGTTAACTGGAGCTCTGCAGCTCACAATACATTGGGCATACGCATCCCGAGAGGACCTAAGCTGTGCAGAGAAATAGATCCGTGGGTGAACCAGCTAGCGTCAGCAGTTGGTCATAGTGGTGACATTAGTTTGAGATAGAAGAAAGGGTTAATGATCAGAGTGTTTAAATAGATAACTCACAGACAGGTTGCAGGTATGGCAGCATAGTGTAGAACCAACAGATGGTCGATCATCTGTATGGCGAACTACTTAAATTAGACAATGACTAAAGTTGTATATATGGCTTGTTGTACACTCATTATGTAACTATAAAACCTTAGGAAACTATTCATGTGATAGTTCCGTAATAACAAACTAATAAAAATCTAATCAGTCAAGGAAGTGGCCTTAATAACAAAAAAAAAATAAAAATTTAATATGGTCTGATTTTTTTGATTATGAAGCTGATTATTACATGCATTAAAAATTTAATATAGTATTTTTTTTTTTTTATGAAGCTGGTTATAACGTATTGTAATTTAATATTTTTTATTAAGGTCGAATATGATTCGATTTTTTAATTATAAAGGTTGAAAATAGAAATAATGACACTAAATCGTCAAACATTCAGCAAATATTCATCAAATATTTTGCTTCCAATTGATCCAATTGCGTGATTGGATCAATCAGAAGCAAAATGTTTGATGAATATTTGCTGAATGTTTAACGATTTGGTGTCATTATTTCTATTTTCAACTAGTGTTACACATATTAAAAATTTAATATGGTCTGATTTTTTGATTATGAAGCTGATTATTACACACAGTAAAAATTTAATATAGTATTTTTTTTTATTATGAAGCTAGTTATAACACGTTTTAATTTAATATTTTTTATTAAGGTCGAATATACTCAATTTTCTAATTATAAAGATGATTATTACACGCATAATTTATTGAAATTACATGATATTCAACTATTGTTGTTAGGCAAAACCTAGAGGTTTTGGCATTGGTGGAAGGCAAAACCTAGTTTCAACTTTTGCCAAAAAATTTTAAAATAGTGAAATAATGAAACTGATGAAAAATGATGAAACTGGTGAAAAGTAGCAAAACCAGCAAAAAGTAACAAAACTAATAAAAGGTGGTGAAACTGATAATGCAGGCCAAAATTTCATGTGCTGATTTCTGGTTATGGTTGCTACAGATATTATAAACTATATAGAATCCAGATTCAATAAATTGAATTCAGATTTACCCAAATTCAGATTATTATCTGAATACACAAAGTAGAATCCAAATTACTTACATGTAAGTTAACAACTCTAATCACAGTGTAGGGGAGTAAACTGATAAATTCTGGCCAGCTTTAATATTTAGTTTGGCTAATATTAATGCTATGAGAAGGACTCCAAAAGTTCTAAGGTAGACTATGAATATAAAAAAAACGAGCAAGGTTGAGGAAAATTTTAGAGAGAATAAGCCGATTGTACTTGAGACAACTAATCAATTGGATAAACTTGAAAATCAAAGGATGGCGAATGATTAGTCTTAGTATATAGTTAATATTGAGAATAGCTAATTTAGTTTCAATATCATATGCTTATTCTTTGCTGTAACTTATAATGCACATGAAATTTGAAAAATTGTAAATTTGCCCATGCATAACAACTATGGTGTTCACTATCGCTATGTTGCATTTTAATAAAGTTGCGAAAATAAAATTTTAGTTTAATAAAAATATAAAAATTTAAATAATTTAAATAATTTAAAGAAATAAATAAATTTTTTTCTTTTTAGAATTGAAAAAAAAATTTCATTGATTGATTAAGTGGTTATCAGCTCATAGTAAAACATCTTGAAGCTTCTAATAAAATACCAGACCAAATTTGATAGAAATTTTTTTTCTATTCTACAGATTTAAAAAATGTTTATTAAATTTTATCAGGTGGATGATGTTCGAACAATATATCTTGACAAATACCTAATTAATTTCTTTTTAAAATTCATAGAATTAAAATAAAAAAAATTTCAATGAATTTGATTAGGTAGTTGTCGAGGTGTCTTCGTTCAGAGTTTAAAGAACTAATTATTTGATCTTTCAATAACAATATTTATAGCTAATAAAATTATTTTTTTGCTTATCTCCTTTATTAAAGTTCAGATACTAGTCGTTTCATTTCACCAGGGTATAATTTTCACTGGTTCACCTTTCATTTGAGGTTTCATCGTTCGCCAGGAGTTTCGACTTTCGCCAGAGGTTTCGCCTTTCATTTTTCACAGGTTTTGTCTTTCACTAGAGTTTCATCAGTTTCGCCTTTTTTGAGTTTAGGTTTCGTCTTTTGCCATTTTTTGTAAAACAGTTTTGTCTAACAACTATATGTTCAACCCCAAAGGGAGGTTTTTTAATTTTAATAAACTTATAGTGTTCGATTTTTTGATTATGAAGCTGATTATGACCTAAATTTATACGAGTTAACTGTATTATTCATTTCGCTTAAGTATTAATTTGTAAAAAAAATTATTATTAAAACTACATGTACTAGTAAAAATTATGTCATAATAGTCGAATGAATGGTCGAATGGCATTCGAATTGTACTATTTAACATGTCGAATTTTTTCAAATAGTGAGTCTATGTAGCAAATTAGACTCTAGACGATAGTTTGATATGAATTAGTGCTGATTATGAAATATGATAATAGTTTAATGAAGTAGTTAAAGAAGTCAAATTCAAATAAGTTTAAGTGATCAGCACTTAAAATTTTTTTTTATAAATATATGGCAAATTCGAACAGTTTTTTTAAAAAATTTTCTTCTCTCTTCTTTTTTCTTTCTTCTCTCAAGTTTACTCAAAAATTCTTTTAAAAAAAATTTTTAATTCAACCTATTTTCGGCATGGCTAGAACCAAAAAAACCCGATCAACATATCTCTCAAACCAATCTACTTCTTTAACTCAACTGTCTTCGACTCGATCATCCACTACTACTTTGACTCAACTATCTACTACTACTTCGACCCAACTATCTACTACCACTTCGACCCAACTATCTACTACCACTTTGACCCAACCATCCACTACCACTTTGACCCAACTATCCACTACCACTTTGACTCGACCATCCTCTACCACTTTGATCTAATCATCCACTACCACTTCGACTTGACCATCCACTACTACTTCGACTTGACCATCCACTACTACTTCGACTCGACTATCTACTACTACTTCGACCCAACTATCCACTACCACTTCGACTCTACTATCCACTACTACTTAGACTCGACCATCCACTACTACTTTGACCCAACCATCCACTACCATTTCGACTCTACTATCCATTACTACTTTGACCCGATCCACTTTAACTACTACCACTTCGACTCAGCCAACAATTGTAATTTCGCCTTTACATATTACTACCACTTCTCTGTGCTAATCAAGAAATGTAACTCCCATAGAATCCATTTCCCCCACTACTTGTGATGCTAGCAGAAGTAGAAGTAGAAGCAAAAGTGGAGAATGGTTGGAAACTTTATCTAATTTTGATTTAATCGAAAGGAACAGGAGGATAGATAACGGTAAATTTTTATTCATTGTTAAACAGTGGCCGAATATATATCGAATTATAATATACACTGATAAAAATTAAAAAATT